CAGAATGCTCTGTGATTGTAGGTGAACTATAAATCCCAGCAACTACAACTCCCAGATGTCAAGATTCTATTTCCCCCCAAACTCCACCAGTGTTCACATTTGGGCATATTGAGTATTCGCGTAGAGTTTGGCCCAAATCCATCATTGTTTGAGTCCACAGTTCTCTCTGGATGTAGGTGAACTACAACTCCAAAACCAAAGGACATTGCCCACCAAACCCTTGCAGTATTTTCTGTTGGTCATGGGAGAACTGTGTGCCAAGTTTGACCCAATTCCATTGTTGGTGGGGTTCATAATGCTCTTTGAGTGTAGGTGAACTATAAATCCCAGAGACTACAACTCCCAAATGACAAAATCACTTTTTTTTAATTGAAGGACATACATTGGGTTGTTAGGCGCATTGTGTCCAAATTTGGTGTCAATTGGTCCAGTGGTTTTTGAGTTATGTTAATCCCACAAACGGACATTACATTTTTATTTATATAGATTTCCTAAGCATTCGGTTTGCAGAATGTTAGCAAGGAATTCTGCTCTGTCTTTCTCCCTTGCTTCATCTCTTCGCCCTGGGATCCTCCTTGTTTCTTTTCTCCAGCCCTGAAAACTAGGAAAAAATTGAAGCCATGTGTCTATATGTAGGGAACACCCAATGGACCATACAAAACAAGGGTATCAGATGACAGCTGGGAACAGTGCATAGGACAAGCTCCTGAGAGGATAACCAAGAGAGTCAGCATAAAACAAGGCAACCGCAGCCTCATACATGTCAATTCAAATCAGAATTCAGGGCCTTCTTAGACAAAGCTTATTTTATCTGTTAGCTTGCTAGCCCCAGCCAGTATCGATTCTCTTCTGGATGAAAACTGTGCAGGTACAACTGCACCAGGAGCTCCAATTTTGTTTGCTTTGCACTGAATGTTTGTTGTAGTCCTAAGTTTCAGGGACGCTGCAGATAGGTGGCTTCTTTTGGCTGCAATCATAGGGCAAGCCACCTGTCAATTATCGTTAGGTTCCCTGGTCCCGCCCCCCTTTTTGGGGTTTGGGGGGAATAGGAGCCAATTTGGGTCAGTCCACACAGAGAAGCCTTTCACACAGGACATAAAACCAAGAGCTCCTGTAGAAAGCTTCATTTTCTACAGCTTGGCCGGGGTTATACAGCCCTACAGCTTCTTTGCTGAGGGACTTCAACCAGCCATCATCGAAACCTGAACTCCTTTCCCCCTGGAAGTCTACAAAGCTCTGCTTGGTAAGGGTCACTCACGGAAGCCAGAAGTAGTTGGTACCGGGTGCAGGGGCTCCACGCCAACAGAGGCAAAGACAGACTGCCCAGATTAGAAGTTAAGGATTTCCCCATTTGTTAAATTACAGTTTATGAAGACGGTGCCTGTTCCCAGTGGACAAGATTGAGAGAGAGCCAATAGACTGTTAAGAAAGCCTTAAAGTACCTGTTTGTTTTCAATAATAAAGAACTTTGTTGAACCTTTAAGCAATCTAAAGACTCTGTTTTAAGGAAATCCAAGGGCCTTTAATCTGAGGCAGCCCCAGCGTCCTGTTGGGCACACAGAATTTATGTCCTGTCTACAGTCTTATGCACAGGCCCAGCGTGCGACAGCACAGAAACCCTGAGTAGCAACATTTAAAACATATCAGATGCAAAGCCTGTTTTCTTACTTTTCAGCTCCATAATGCTTTCTAGGAAAGCAAGTTTGTTCTGGGTGGAGTTTTGCTTCAATATGCAAGAGTAGTAGGGCTGAGCTTTGGAGGTCTTACGATTGGACCAACTTGAATATTTTGTAGGGAATAATCAAGGGTTTGCCTTTAATTTTCAGAGCGGCCAGCTCCTCCAAGGGAATTGAAGGTCCCCCAGTCTGAAGTGACATCACGGAGTTTGCAGCTGCACTGGGTTCCTGGAAGTGACGGATCTTCACCGATACGCTACTTCACGGTGCAAACGAAAGAGCTGCCAGATGGGGACTGGAAGACATATTCATCATCTATCAGCCATGAAGCCACCTCCTGCACAATTGACAGGTACCCATACAGAGGGAGAAAGCATAACATGCCTTGACCCTAATAGCGTCTTCTAGGTCAGTGGTTTGCAGCCTTTTATTGACCAAGGACCACTTTGACCAGGGACCACTCTCCAACATGAGTACCAAAAGGGATATAAATCAGTTTTTGGTCAACTTTAGATTCAGTTTGGTTGTTTTGGATGCTGATTCAGAAAATTGCATTGGATAAACCACATCAGCTCTAGTTTCTGATCCAGAACATATTCCATCCAGTAGCCACCATCTGCTCACCCACAGAAAATCATATTTAATAGTCTAGAGCCAAAGTGGTCATAGTAATATTTTGTGGGTAGTCAGCTTCTCCCCTCCCAACATCCCTGTTTCCTCAGCACTCGTTTCCTCGAGGCAACGGTATAGTAATGGTGAGAGCACAGACCATATTATTGTTCTTGTGGTCCACAGACCACAAGTTGGGAACCACCGTTCTAGACTCAAAGCACCAATGAGACTCTTCTTCCACTGTACGAAAGAAGAAAGCAGGGTTTTATAGTTTCCCGAAGACCTATGTACTCAACTCAAAACTCAAAGCGTAATCTTGATCCTTTCATGGTACTTTTTCAGTAGTAGGCAATGGCTGTACTGGTACGGCTGTACCAGGAGCTCCAACTTTATTTTCTTTCTGTTATCTGTTCACAGTTATAGGGCAGGGCTCCTGTCCATCATAATTAAGCTTTGGTTCCGCCCCTTGTTCAGGGCTCTGGGAGGGAAAGGAGCCATTTTTGGGCAGTCTCTCATAAGGAAGCTAAGCTATAGGATGTAGATCAGCTCATCCCGTAGAAAAGCTTCTTTTCTCAATAGCATCCAGGAAACAGAGCATCCAGGGAAAAGGGAGCATCCAGGGAAACAGAAATTCCAGGGAAAAGGTCCCAAGGCTCTGGCTGAGAACTCTCAGCCTCTCTGCCTCACAGCAATCAGAGGGAAAACAGCCTGGAAGTTTTCAAAGAATTCTCGGAGGGAGGACAGCAGTACAGACCCACTGAACTCCATCTGAAATATCTACAAGCCTCAGCTAGTAGGTCTACTCAATACCCAGACGCATTTGGAATCGGTAGTAGGACCCACACCGATGAGGCATAGATAGAAAGCAGCCTGGGAGAGGTTAAAAGGGGTTTTTCCTACAGAGAAAGTTTAGTTAATCAAAGCCAGGTACCAGTCCATTGAGGACTAGACTAAGAAAGCCTTGAAGTGTTGTTTGAACCATTGAAGATTTGTTGTTTGTTCCATAATAAAGACTTTGTTGTATCATTAAAGACTCTAAAGACCATCACTTCAGAAAAATCCCTGAGAACCTCTCTTTGAGGCGCCCCTGGCTTCCCGCTGGGCTTAAAGTATATGTCCTATAGAAAAGTACAGCTGTTACAGGCCCAGCGCGCGACAGAAAAATAGCAATATTAAAAATATAATTCTGAGTTTT